CCCACCTCCAGGCTCGACTTCTACGGAAGGAATTAAAGCGCATGGTACGAAGCAACTGCAGCTCTAAGTTCCTAACAGTACGAGAAGAAGCTCTACACTGGGCAGAGGAGGATGAAAAGCTGCGTCCTACAAAAAGAAATGTATCAAGTGAAGCAGTTTCAACCACACAGTCAAACAAAGAGATGGATAAAGTATTGCAAGCCCTCGAAGAGCAGCGTAAGTCGATTGATAATTTGTCCCAATCCCTTATTTCCCTTTCCAGATCCAACAATAATATTCAGCGGAATCAGGGAGGAAGAGGCGGCCGAAGCCCCTCCCTCCGTGGCTTTGACGAAAGAGGGAACAGAATTTGTTTTAAATGCCAAGGAGTCGGACACATTGCAAGAGATTGTGTGAATAATACAAGTCAACGCCAGAATGACGGCCTTCCCCCATCCAATGGCCCACCACGCAATACTGCCTCACCATCATCGTATGTCCCTAGCCAAGATACATCAGCGCCAAACGGTCTCCCTCCACAGTCGCGAGTCGGACAGTAGGAGGGGAAGGTGCAGACTCTCATAGCATACCAGAAAGAATAATTGGCAAGTGTCCTGTTGCTGTTGTGAACATTGGAGGCGTGTCTGTATCATGTTTACTTGATTCAGGGTCTGAGGTCTCTACTATTACAGAAGAATTCTTTAATACTCATTTTAAACCAAAGGGACAGGAACTACTTTCAACCAGTGGGTGGTTAAAACTGACAGCGCTTAAACGTGCCCAGACGAGGAATACTGGTCGTAAAGGATTCTGCCAATGATGCTATGAGAGCACGGAAGAGAGACGTACCAGGTCTCCTTGGAATGAATGTACTATGTGAAATGGGACAAGTGTTAGCTAAGTTCGAGGGAACGGAATTTTTAAGTAAAGTTGATCCTGTATGGTCACAGCCAATCCAGGCTGCTAAACGTCGTGCGAATACATCAGTACGAGGTATCGTTCGAGTTGCAGGAAAGCGTGCAGTACGGATCCCAGCTAGTTCAGTAACAACAATACCTGCCAGTAGTGTGTAGCGGGGCTTAATGGACCCCTTTTCATGCGCATAATTAGCAAAGTTATCCTTAATAATTCATGAGTTATGCAAATTAATTTGCATAATCGATGACGTATTTTTCCGAAGGTTCTCCGATGATGATAAAACAACGAGGGCTTTCCGATAATTAATTTGCATAATCGATGACGTATTTTCCGAAGGTTCTCCGATGATAAAACAACGAGAGCTTTCCGATTAGTCGCCATTTTGTTTCAAGATGGCGGAAGGGTTAATAATGGCGGTTTTAAGGGAAAATAACATTGAATTGAGTGTGAATACTTTTCGTTTCCATTTAAAATTGCTTTTGGAAAAGCATGGGGGTTTATTTGAAAGCATGATAGCTCGTATTGGACGAGAAAACGTACTTGAAAATTTGTGTGTAATTTATCAGGAGTTAGAACCTTCGAATTTTGGTAGAATTATGGCTTACTTGACTTTAGTTTTTAAAGTTAGTGATTTTTGTGAGCCTGAAATTGTGCAAGAAGCCGTAGAAGTCTGTGTATGGGAATTAAAACAGGTGGACATAGATTGCCAGCGTCCGCGGTTACTACAAAAAATGGAAAATTTTGGCTTTGCAACAAAAATAATCCCAAGAGTTGTGAATTCTTCTGCCCTGATCAAGACCGCTCGTTGTTCGAAACGGCCATGTCAATGTGGAGAGCGAATGGTCCAATTCATCCGGTGTGTGATACTCACCAAAGGCTAGCAAGAATGAAAGTCGTCAAAGACGTTAGTAAACCGAACTTTGGAAGGCCGTTTTTTGTTTGTTGCGACCGCGAGAATCCATGTGAGTTCTGGCAGTGGGGTGATAGACAAGAGTTTCCAAAACCGAAATGCGGACACGGATTGAATGCTTGCGTGCGGAAAGTCAAAAAGGAAGGAGAAAATCAAGGTCGCCTTTTCTTTTGTTGTCCAAACGATCGAGAAAAGTCGTGCGGATTTTTTGAATGGAAACTCGATCTGGAGAACCCGTTCAACCAAGTTCATTTTCCTCACGTTGAAAGAGTTGGTATATTGCAGAGTAATCCAGCGCTATACACATACATGGTAGCCGAAACGGGACTTACCTTTACCAGCGCACGGGAAAATCCACACGATGCCTACGCTGAATACATTGGGGAATTGCCTATTTTCTCACTAACGAAGGATATGGAAAAACTGTCACTTATAGACTATTAAGAGCCTATAATTAAGCTATTAAAACATTGTTATATTAACCCGAACAGAACACTTAAATACATAGAAACCTAGTGAGTGAGTGAAATGTTGTAAATACGCTAAATGAAATATATCAACATTGTTTTTCCTTGAGTTCAAACAGAACTACTTCTTCCTCGTCGTCTTCGGCTTGTCTCAGCATACTCATTTCCATGGGTATGGCGCGGAACCTGCAAAAACCACCTATCAACACTGTCCGAAAGTTGAAACCGGAGTGTAATACCATTAATAACTGAATCGTATCAACGACTAAGTCTAAACCTTTGAAAATGAGTTTTTCACAAAATTTTGAGACTGCTCATGAGCGAATGCTCATCTGCTCATAAGGCCAGTTTAACCCGAACTACTGTGTCTGGTACAATTTTGTGCGATGAGCATGTGCTCATAACTGCTCATGAGCACATGCTCATCTGCTCATGAGGCCCGTTTAGGCCCAATGGCCCGAAGTGCATTCTTCGTTCGTGGAAGCCCAGACACCACAGCAGAAAAATTGATTAGTTTATGTACACAAATGTATAATTTTTCGTATTCGCATGTTTTTGCCATTTTGATTTCTATCCGACCAACCCATGTAAAAATGACAAGAAAAAACAAGTATAATTGAAAAGCAATTTATTTTAATGACTCGAAGTTACATGCTGTGTCTATACTTGTATTGTTTTACATGCTAATACTGTTCGAGTACAAGACTTCAATCCTATATTCGACCTATCAGTCGATAGTCTAATCATCATTGCATGTCATCATCATCAGAATCGTAACCCTTTAAAAGCCTTCTTATAAGAAATATTTAACTCCGAACTACTACGCACAGAGTTTGTTAGATTTTTAAAATCATGTCGGGTACAATTTTGTGCGATGAGCACATGCTCATAACTGCTCATGAGCACATGCTCATGCTCATAACTGCTCATGAGCACATGCTCATCTGCTCATAACTGCTCATGAGCACATGCTCATAAAACTGCAGTGCTGCTCAATAACAAGGCATTTCTACATAAAAATAACAAGAAAACACAGGTATAATTGAAAAGCAATTTATTTTAATGACTCGAATTTACATAAATGCTGTGTCTATACTGGTATTGTTTTAGATGCTAATACTGTTCGAATACAAGACTTCAATCCTATATTCGACCTATCAGTCGGGAGTCTAATACGCTTTAAAAGCCTTCTTATAAGAAACTTTCTCTTATCAACAGCTGCTTCTAGCGCTTCTTCTGGATCAAAATCATCGTTTTCCACAAGCGCATCTTTTGTGTGCATTATCTTCTTATGTACTGGATCTTTCTTTAGTTGTTTCATCCAATATAAATATTTTCCAGTTCCTTCCGGAGTTTCGGCAGCATATTAGAGAAAGCTTTGTCCTTAGCGGATTGCTCATCTGAACCAGTGTTTATAAGGTTTTCTTTCATTTCCTCTAAAGCTATATTTCTTCTTTGTTTTGCTTCTTCTATCAACGGTATCCAAGGGTCCATTTCCTCTTCAGTTTCTGAATCATCAGTCCTCATCGAAATTTCAGACACATCAGTTGAAGTTGTTGAGACATCGTCTTGGAAATCCCTTTCCTGGCTATCCGAGTCTGTTTGAGACATGTTTCGTTCTTGTGCACGTAGGGGACAGTATTCCTTTTCGTGTCTTCGTAAATTGTAACCACGGCTAAATTGCTTTCTGCAAAATTTGCAGCTCATTCCGTTAGCACTGACTGTGTAGAAATGCCTTGTTATTGAGCAGCACTGCAGTTTTATGAGCAGATGAGCATGTGCTCATGAGCAGTTATGAGCAGATGAGCATGTGCTCATGAGCAGTTATGAGCATGAGCATGTGCTCATGAGCAGTTATGAGCATGTGCTCATCGCACAAAATTGGCGTAATCTTCACGACTGATAAGATTTCCAGAGTCGGCAAACATTTTATCCATACCAGAAAACAGAGTTTCATAACCTCGTATGTACAGGCCAGTCCCTGCGTCGCCAAACTGAACCTGGATAGGTTTCCGCGTTTCGCCATTCACAGACAGGGCGACTTGAGTGACTTTATAATGATGAAAATTGAAAGCGTTCTTGGCATAACTTCCATGATACGCTTCGCTATGAACTAAGGCCACGACAACACGTTTCGGTAAAACCCCGAGGAATACATTCTCCCTATCCAAGGACATCAGCCCTTGGGGGATGGCCATAGATTTCACCTCCACTCTTGAAATGGGATATTTTGCGGTTGTTTTATCCAGGAATTTTTTGTGTTCTAAACGCAGCGTAGGGCTTACAGTCACACGTCGCACGCGAAGTACGGCTTCCTGAATTATTACCTTGTATGCTGGATTTTCACCCCCTGCCAGTAAGCAGAAATTATTTGGGGATCTAACCAACTTCACTTTTATATCGACGCCAGGAATAATCAGACGTTCTTGAAAACAAATGTCTGCATGTAACGGGCCAGACATATCACAACTTCGACTGGTTGCTATAAAGCTGCGTCGCTTTTTCAAACCCATGTTCGCGTTAGCATCGGCTGCTAGCGGATCTGGGCCAAAGTTTAGAAGTGTTTCAATCATGGCACGGTAGGGATACGTCGTAGCGCTTGGCGTGATTAATTTATCGTTGAGTGAAACATTCACTTGACTAAACATTGACTGCAAGAATAAATTCTGTGGAGCGATTTGATCTTCAGCTCCGAGATCTTCTCCGTCAGCAGTTTTATTTTAACTTTTATGTACAGGTCTTAGGTGTGCTTGCCTTGCGAGGTTTTTTAGACTGATTGGGTGTTTTACGTTTAGCCTTCCTTTTTATTCCCCTGCCACTCTGCATGTTTGACTGAGCATGACTAATCGCTTTTTCTGGCATACTCCCAACTGCTTCGCGTAAACGATTCGTGGAGGCCGTTTTCACGTCTTTTCCACTAAGGACATCTTCTCCGATCGCAACACCTGTCTTTAAGGCCTGATGTCCAACTGCTTTACCTCCGCGAATCAAAAACGGAACTGCGCTGCGAAACAATTTTCTTAAAATCCCTCCTAAGCCATTACCAGATTGTGTGAGCGCCTCCAGTTTGCCACTGTTTCATATTGGAATGATTTGGTCTAAGATGTAGTGTACAAATCGACCGCCCGTACTCAAATGGCACCCGCCTTCCTGAATCGTCGGTTATATACACTTCCAGCGTTTCAAACCGCTTCGTACCGACTGGCATATATAATGGATTCTGGTACGTTCTTGTAATTATATCACCGTATCTGCCCTTAATTTGAACGGTACGTAGCAAGGGAACTTTTTTATCACCAACAATTTGATCACTCACAAGATTGCAATACACAAACATGGACGAAAATCCTGCATCAATATCTGCCGTGTAGGGTGACGTTGTTTTCTTGGTAATATAACTGTCCTGGTCAAAACCTAACACAGCAGCAATATCACCGGTGAACCAAATGCTTGCTTGTTTTTTAACATCGACGGTTACTTTACGTGTATGCTTACTATACGTTAATTGAATTTTGCTTTGTACATCTTTCGAAATATGACTGTTAACATTTTTGACGAGATGCGGAACGCTTTCATAATGGCCACTGTCAATGATTCCTGTGCTTCGTTCAGTACCCACAGTATGTACAAACGTTTGCTGAACACCCTGTCTTATAGTACTCCATGTGTGTGCGTATTGCATCTCAACAAGAGCGACTTCCCAATCACCAGTTAACGAAACGGTTTCAGGAAGTTTCACTTTAAAATTTGCGACTGTATTGGAGGGAAATATTTCCATACAGCTATTGCTAGGTAAACATCGCAAAATAACTGGGGCATACAAAATCCTCACTTTTAAAATTCGAAGGTTGTAACTCCTGATAGAAAACCCAAATCTTTTATGTAACTAACATTTCTAAAGAGACTGCGTGCTAAATTCAACTCTTACAATTTGTAATAAATTTAATAATAACACAATTTTGCTAGCCTTTGCTAAAGTTACAATGAATATGTCAATACGTTCGCAAAGCCAGTTTCTTGCAAGGTCAGCATAAATTAACAAGAACGGGCAATGTTGTAAAAGTACAATGTGTACAACAGTTAATGACTTCTTAACAAGTTTTTAGGGACTAGTGATATTCAAATTTCGGCACGTTTTCTCGCCTCATGTAACTCCTCAGACATTTTTTTCTTTTCTTCTCATTCTCGACTTCGCTCGCAGCCAATCTGTAATAGTTGTCCAAGCTAACACCGGTTTTCTTCTCGAATTTTCCCTTCCTTTTTGCCATATCTGCAAATATCTCACCCACAAGCATCTGCTTACAGTTCGACAAATAAGCAAAGGTAGGGCCCCGCACTCGTTTAGGAACAACAACACTCAGAATCAATTGTGATTGCATTTGACGCAACAATATATCATACAGGGCATCGTCCCCACGAATAAATTTCGGTATCAAACCTTTTTCAATCAAAATGTTTTCCAAATCTGTAATTTGCCATTCCGCCTTTTCAATAGGTAAACCAACTCCATTCTCACACTCTGTACTCAATCCAAACGATTTACCACTCATTCACGAAGAAACAACCTTTTCCCACTTTGCTTGCTCCATCTCGAGATATTTATGTCCTATCATTAAAGCCAGTTTTCTTGCTAAGTCAGCACAAACAGGCCTGGGCAATGTAGTAAAAGTACAATGTGTTCAGCCATGTACAACAGTTAATGACTTTTTCTATTGAACCCGGATTAGTGATATTCAAATTTCGCCAGGTTATTAGTCGCGTAACCATGCAATTAAACGTTGTATCCAAGATTGTTTTATTTCAAAGCTAGCTATGTCCACCTGTTTTAATTCCCATACACAGACTTCTACGGCTTCTTGCACAATTTCAGGCTCACAAAAATCACTAACTTTAAAAACTAAAGTTAAGTAAGCCATAATTCTACCAAAATTCGAAGGTTCTAACTCCTGATAAATTACACACAAATTTTCAAGTACGTTTTCTCGTCCAATACGAGCTATCATGCTTTCAAATAAACCCCCATGCTTTTCCAAAAGCAATTTTAAATGGAAACGAAAAGTATTCACACTCAATTCAATGTTATTTTCCCTTAAAACCGCCATTATTAACCCTTCCGCCATCTTGAAACAAAATGGCGACTAATCGGAAAGCTCTCGTTGTTTTATCATCGGAGAACCTTCGGAAAATACGTCATCGATTATGCAAATTAATTATCGGAAAGCCCTCGTTGTTTTATCATCATCGGAGAACCTTCGGAAAAATACGTCATCGATTATGCAAATTAATTTGCATAACTCATGAATTATTAAGGGTAACTTTGCTAATTATGCGCATGAAAAGGGGTCCATTAAGCCCCGCTACACACTACTCCTGCCACTGGTTGGGGTGGTCAAGTGAAGTGCGAGATCGCAATGGTGGAACCAGTCATTGGACAACATTTGTCGCACCTAGTGGTACTCAACACCCTCGTAGGACCGTCATCCCCCTTCTGTGAGAGTTGCAAATCTAACCAATGACGATTTGTGGATCCAGCCAAGGACAAGGATAGGTGTTCTTCACGCAGTCAGCAACATCGAAAGTGGTGTGGAATTCAAGAGAGTGTCAATCAACGAAGAAATGGTTACGGTGCAAGATAGCGAGAACATATCCATTCCAGACGTCGTAGTACTGAATGTCCTTGCAACGGACTTTCCCCAGAGCAGCAAGAAAAGCTGGACGCACTGTTGAACAAGCATGCTTCCGTATTTTCAAAGTCAGACGATGACATTGGCTACACGGAGACGGTTAAACACAAAATTAGGACGGATGATGACATCCAGGTTACGCAACCCTACAGACGAATTCCCCCAAATCAATACCAAGAGGTGAAGAAACACATTCAGAAATTACTTGATAGCTCAGTCATTCGTGAAAGTCACAGCCCTTGTGCATCTCTTATTGTGTTAGTGAGAAAGAAGAACGGCTCCCTTCGCCTGTGCGTTGATTATCGAAAGCTCAACTTAAGAACGCAAAAGGACTCCCTTTACCCCGGTAGACGAGTCACTTGATGCTCTCAATGGTGCACAGTGGTTTACAACATTAGATCTTCAAGCGTTTTAATCGGTCGCAGTCAAGAGAAGACAAACCGAAGACCGCATTCACTACTCCGTTTGGACTGTTTGAATATAATCGAATGCCTTTGGCCTCTGTGGTGCCCCGCAACGTTTCAGCGACTGATGCAAAGCTCAGACCAGATCTATCAACTGTTGTTGGTTTACCTCGATGACGCTATTGTTTTCTCAAAAACATTTGACGAACACTTGGAGAGACTGGAAAAAGTTTTAACGAGGCTAGCGCAACAAGGGTTAAACATAAAGCGAGAGAAATGCAGTTTTCTTAGAAAAGAAGTTTCGTATCTGGGATATGTGGTTTCATCTGACGGTGTCTCGACTGACCCTGACAAAATATCTGTGGTGAAAAATTGGCCGGTACCCAAGACCATGAAAGAACTTCGTTCGTTTCTTGGATTTGCTAGCCACTATCGTCGCTTCGTAAAAGATTTCTCCAAGGTCGCTGACCCACTGCATGAATTACAGAACCGGTGTTTACACGAACTGAAACTAAAGAAACATCTGTTAGTACCCTTCCCAAAGCGTTGGAAAATTGTTCATCAACAAGCCTTCGATAGGCTTAAGCATTCGTTGACAACTGCGCCAGTATTGGGATATGCAGACTTCTCGCAACCATTCATACTCGAGACTGATGCTAGCCACCAAGGACTGGTGCGTTCTTTCCCAAGAACTTCAAGGAAAGAGACGTGTATTGCGTACGCAAGTAGACGACTAAGACCAACTGAACGCAAATGGACAATTATAGCTCCATGAAGTTAGAATGTTGGCTTTGAAATGGGCCGTAACCGACAAGTTCGCAGTTATCTGTTAGGAAGCAACTTCACCGTTTATACTGAAATAACCCCTGAAATATCTTCAAACTGCAAAACTTGGAGCAGTAGAACAACGATGGGCTTCGCAGTTGGCATCTTTCAAGTTTGACATTGTTTATCGCTCGGAAAATCGAATGCTAATGCCGACGCATTGTCGCGCCTCCCTCACCACGATTGCCCAGACAAACTTTCGTCGGTGATGGAAGTAACGAATACCTTGGCTCATTCTCCAATACAACAGCTTTCCATCCCACCTAGCTACTGCCACTTTGGAAAAGAGTGCAACATAACCCTTGAAGGTCCTCAGCAAGCGAATGTGGCAAACAACGCTATCAACACAGAACATAAGTACCAAGTCAGGAACGAAGTCATTTCCAAGTTACTCCAAGTCCGAGTTAATGCAGATGCAACAAAGTGATCCAACGATAAGCTCATTCCTGAAATTTTGGACAGTTGGCAGGAAACCCGATGCAAAGGAGAAGATCTCACTATTGGTACACGTGTCTTGTTACAGCAATGGAAACGGTTAGAACTGAAGGACGGAGTATTGTACCGAACGATTATTGATCCACAAGAGCAGGAGGTACGACAGTTGGTGCTACCTGAGATTCTAAAAGAGAGAATAATTCGCAGTCTTCACAACGACATGGGACATCAGGGCTTAGAGAGAACTATTCTTCTAGCTAGATCTCGATGCTACTGGCCAGGTATGTACACAGATGTCGAGAAATGGATCAAGTCATGTGAACGATGTGTTTTGTCCAAGATGCCACAACCGCGTATTCGAACACCAATGGGGCACCTTATTACCGAACAACCCCTGTCAGTTCTTGCCATTGACTTTACGTTGTTGGAACGTTCGAGTGATGGAAAAGAAATGTACTGGTAATGACTGACGTTTTCACTACGTTTTCGCTAGCAGTACCCACGAAAGATCAAAAAGCATCCACAGTTGCCAAAGTGCTGGTCAAGGAGTGGTTTCAAAAGTACGGCACACCGGAACGGATCCATTCGGACCAAGGCAGGAATTTCGAGAGTGCAATCATTCAGGAACTGTGTCGAATTTATGGTGTAAAGAAGAGCCGCACAACACCTTACCACCCACAAGGCAACGCACGATGTGAAGCTTTAACCGCACACTTCATGATTTGCTTAAGAGCTTGCCTCCTCAAAAGAAACGTCGATGGACCGAGTACCTTCCTGAGTTACTGTATGCCTACAACTGTACCCCGCATGGTATAACCGATTGCAGCCCATATCATCTTCTTTTCGGGAGATCACCAAGGTTACCAGTTGATTTACTCCTCGGACAAGAAGAAAATGAACCTCAGAAACAGTCTGCGAATTAGTGGCTTACTAAACATCAAACCCGCCTACGGTACGCTTGGGAAAAAGCAGGGGAGCATATACGCGAGTCAGCAGAGAAGAGAAAGCAAAGAAACGATTCAAAGGTGTATGCGCCAGATATCAAAGTTGGGGAGTTAGTGTACCTACGAAAAAGAGTTTTGGGGCGAAACAAGATCCAAGACGCATGGGAACCTACCATGTTTACCGTGACTGAAGTACCGACCAAAGATGGTGGACCATATACTGTCGTGCCCTATAGTGGTCGAGGTGCCCCGTGTTGAACTACAACCATGCCCCATGAAGAGTGATCCTCCTCAACCGATACAACCAACGACGATTAAATGCGTTCCCAACCGAGCCATTCATGAAGATACGTCCTCAACTGACATCGAATCGGAGTTTATGTTGCTCGTTAATACCCCTTCGTCACCCAGAAAGCATCACATATCCACTTCCAAAGGCGAACAAATTCAAGCAACGCCAGACAATGATCCAGCAACAACTCTCCGAAGATCGAAACGGATAGCGGCGAAAAGACAGAACACTCATCAAAGCAAATCAAATCCAACATGCATTCAACTGACGGTATCGTATCGAGACTTTAATGTCTATGTCCTAGTTATAAGTGTGCTTATAACTGGCATTTCCGTGATCTCTGCAGTTATATAGTTAGGTCGAGGACGACTCCTTGTTAGCAGGGGAGAGTGTGGCCAGGTTGAATAAACTGTGGAGAGACACCTTAGTAGTTATTGTTAGTTAACTTCCTGTTAATCACTTCCTGTTACGTCATGAACATGCCATGCTGCCAATGCAGTCAGGAAAATATAAAAGCGATTTCAAAAGAACTTATTGAGTATTTTATCGTCAAAGAAAGCATTTATATCGAAGAAAAGAACAATAAAACGGAATTAACATCTCGGGCAGTCGCCCGCTTATAACCGTCGCCCTCGTATTTTGGGGTGTTCAAAATAAAAGAGAAAATTATAAACAGTTTTCACGAATCTATTATGTCCCGGTCACAAGTATAAAGATACGATGATGTGGAAACTAAACAAAAGTCATCGTGTTATGTTTTTGTCTACACTAGGGAAAGCTGGGGTGAAACGTGCAACCACGATGAATAATATTTAATGGAGTTGAGAGAAATAATTTGTGTACGGTGATGTACAATTCAACATCAAGCAAAGGTCTTTAGCGTTTTAAATTATATTTGTTCCCATAATAGTGATATCCATACCATTGAATTTGCGATTGCATCACTAAATCCATAGTATATCCACACTATATCCATGTACATCCATACAATATCCATAGTATATCCATACTATATCCATAGTATATCCATACTATATCCATAGTATAAAAATTGCAATTAGTATGAAGATTGGATTTCAACACTATTTTCAACTAAGATCCATACTATTTCCATAGGAAGAAGTTTGAAAAACATTTCCAGTGAATCAGTGAGCTGTTGACAGTATTACACCAATAAATGCTATTGAAAAGCCTCCAAATTTGTGAAAAATGTATCCTTGGCATTTGGCTTTTAGCCAGAAGGGCGTCCCACGACGCCGTACAACGAAAAATGGACGCCTTTTGACGCCAAAAATTTTTTGGGTAAAGGAAAAGTATTCTCAACGATGTCCCTAAAATCTCGAATGCTCTGTTACGCTATATGTAGATGCCTAAACTAAGAATTGTGATACAGTTTAAGAGACCCAATATCCAAAGATTTCCGAGGGACATTAGCCTCCTGCGCAAACTCTAGAGGGACATAGTCTCGAAGCCTGCTATACAGCTGTGCCGTCACCGAAATTGGACGCGCTCTTTCAGAATCCAGTGTGCCTATTTGCAGTGTGCCTAAACATCTGCCAGCTTGGAACATAAAAATTTCTTTTCAAAATGTATTCGACCAGAATTTAAACATGCCTCATTAATGTCCAAGTGAAGCAAAGATTGAGCTACTGGACGTCAGTTCCAGCCTTTTTCTATTGTTTTTGTTGGCACGGTTAACAGAAAGCTGCAAGGTGTGTGCCGGAATTACTAATTAATAGACCTCACTGAATACAAGTCTGCGATCAGGATGTACAAACTACGCATGTCCAGTAAAGATGAGTTGACTCATCCAATCGTGTATCAGTACATATCACAAAGAACAAACGGTCTGGTCTGTCTGGAACAAGCAATGGAAACCCAATAGGCAATTCCAGCTTTTAATTTATGCCGAAGGTCATATTGCTGATTATGCTGAAAAATTCAGCATAATCAGCAACATCATACCTTACTTCCCCTTCCCCCCTGTGCGCATAAATTAAAAGCTGGAATTGCCTATTCCCTGTCTCATTTTTCACTTGTGTCTTTCTAGCTAATCGCCGGTAGTTTACTATTAAAAGTGGTTGCATTCTACAAGGTCGCTAAGAATAGATTTTAATGATTGACCAATAGTCAGAATCGGGGCGATTATTGGGTTAACGTCAGACAATCAGAATTCGAAAAGAGTAAAGGGCGCCCGCCCTAGAATCTCTCTAACCCCCTCTAATAAAGTGTTCAACCCCACCCAAATTTCGCTTCACCTCTCCTATTCCCCCCCCCCCCTTCCTCCTTCACCCCTCCTAAGGTTTTAACCCAAACTCCTAACCCCTGCCGAAGCCTGAGTGGTGCGCTTGCACCCACCAGAAACATGAAAATCCGCCCTTGACATGAGATACTCACGACGCAAAACACGCGTTTAAACGGCGCGCGTCCCAACGTGTTAACACGAACTGAACAGTGACAAACAACAAGAATTAAGTCACGAAGTGAGTTAGGCGATACTTAAAATCATATCGTGACTATCCGTATCGTCTAGAAACGTAGCGGATTATAATATAAGGCTGGTTATATTTAATATTATTTCCTTACTTTTGAACAGTTCCTTGAGGAAATGTGGAACCAGTTGCAAACTAAACAAATAGAAACCACAGAAACCATTAGAGAAGCAATTCTATGTTATAAGGCGGTGTCCTGTAAATAAGCTATGAGAACACGTACTTGCAATACATCCGTAAAGCATGTTTAAAATCAGGCATGTGGAAAAACTATAAACAAAATTATACCTCAGAACCAATCAGAGTGTCAAGTTGCCAAGATTGCAGCTAAAACACAAAAGTTTACAAAAATTAGTAACTTTGCATCAATCAATTCTTGCATTGCTCATCCCCGGGTATTTGTACGCTTCCTGTACCCCAACCTCCGACGCAGGGACTTTCGGAAAAGACCTTGGGTACGAGAATGCCTGTACCCAGGGGCCGGACGTAGGGATTTGTCATGGGGGGCCATTTTTTTACGACGAAGGCCTTTGGATGCTGCACCATGCATATCACATTCATATCATCATCAACTTTATTTGCCCTTAGTAAGCTTGACATCAATTCGAAAATGGCACATGGAAATGCTTATCGCAAATGTTCTATACAGTAACTCTTAATTAAATACGGACACTTGTCAATGGACCTTTAACCTTATATAACTAAAATTTTGATCTAGACAAGTCAAGACAAAAATTTCATCACAGCTTGAAAGAGCATCTCAAAATTAGTAACATTCCAAACTTTCGTTGCGAAATGTTGTAAAATGCGGATAATGTAGCCTTGCGAAGTTTGCAATTTTCAGTCATTTTAGATTACAAACGGGAAATTGATACCCAAACACCCGATTTGGGTATCAATTTCCCGTTTGTAATCTAAAATGACTCAAAATTGCAACTTCGCAAGGCTATATTATCCGCATTTTACAACATTTCGCAACGAAACTTTGGAATATTACTAATTTTTTGATGCTCTTTCAAGCTGTGATGAAATTTTTGTCTAGATCAAAATTTTAGTTATAAGGTTAAAGGTCCATTGGGCCAACTTGTCAAGATGCGCAAATCATGTAAATTTTGCATTAAATCTGTGTGCAAAGATTCCTGCATGCATGAATATTTAAACATGCACGCACAGATTCCTGAATATTTCCCCCTTTCTCGTGATATTCGTATGAATCTTCTATGGTATATGAATCTACGTGTCAGAGTACCATGGAGCCCGGCATTTGTCATCAATTTTTGGCTCAGGATGCATTTCATCTCGCTCCTATTAGAAACCGTGCTCAACTTGTTACGACGAAAGTGCCGTTTTCCAACAATTTCGCACCGACGTAGCGTGAATATGCATAGTACGAATTACCTGTTGTTGAAGGTGCTTCACCTGAGAAAGAAAATAAAAGCAATCGTTTATTAGGCATAACCGTGGGCTTGTGCCGAGAGTCAAATTCAGCTAAACTTAATTCGGTTATATATGTACGTATAAGAACTACAGGGCTCCAAATGGCATTTCTCTCGTGCCTGGGGTTAGCCTAATATTTGTTTTGTTGCCTAATTTTTCAATTTTTTTATTGCGCAATAAAGCAATTTTGCATCAATTGCATGTACCGGCCCTTTTTAATTTCCTGGTTAGTGGTAAATAGTTGCTGCCAATATATGTCAAAAAGATTAATTCATCAGTTTTTAACTTCTTTTCACAT